CCCCCCCCCCGTCCACACACACACAACAAAAAAACCAACCAAATCAAATAATGTATAGATAATTGTGACGTCAAGGACATTAAAAAAAAAAACGTGTCAAGGGCTCTTCTTCTATATTTTGAGGACCCACGATCCATGAATTGATCATTCTGGTTTACATCACGACGGTTTGGCCAACCCAGTGGTTCCCTTAATATACGCCACGTCGCTCTCGGTGGCTTATTGCCCTTGGGCAGAGCCATGAGAATGGGGAAAAGCTGGCAGTTACATCGGGGTTCAACAGCATGTGCGCCAAAATCTTCTTTAATAAGATGTTAATAGTGAATTAAAATATAAAATTTCATATACTTCAGAAGGACAAGGGGCGCCAAAAATCGTCTTATTAAAGGTTCCCCCCGGGGGGGGGGAAGGGGAGGTATTTGTCCCAGGTGCCGCCTCGGCGTGGCCCTGTCCTGGGTTGCTTATAGGCTTCCTTACAGTACAGGGGCCCGCGAAATATTACACTTGTCATAAATTGTATTTCGCCTTTTAATCCCATGCGACATTTAGCGGTCGTGGTACACACGCTTAAGTAACTGCTGTTTGCAGTTACTAGATTTTATATCCAAACCTTTATTTTATTTTTTTATGCATTCGCTATTTCGAATTGTACTTGTTAGAATTTAACAAAGGACGCGTGGGGAAAACCTAAATTTGGCACAGGCACCGGGAATAAAAAGAACTGAGGAACCACTGGCGTAGCCGAGGTTTGGGGGCGCGGGGGGTGGGGGTGCTTACACGCACGTTCAACTGATGGTGGACGATATATTACTATAATACTGCTTCTTCTGAGTACCATTTGAGCGATATCTAGCGAGTCCATGTGTGAAAACACCAGACAACATTATTACGATAATTCCTATAAAACATTGCGTGATATGTCTTTACAGCTATTTTTTTGGACTGTCGAAATTTCAGAATGATTGTAGACTTATTGAATAAATGTACGTACATTCTGCCGAGACCCCACCTGCCACATGCACGCGTACTCAAAGCCTCCATATTCCACAAACCGTCTCCCCCCCCCTCCCCTCCCCCCTCAGTGCGTACGTGCTGAATTGATGATCCCTTATCAGAATAATTTTTAGGTTAATTCAGTTAAATTCACCACAGCCACAAGAAACAATTTATGATGTCACTATCATGCCACTATCATGTCACTATCATGTCACTGTCATGCCACTCTCTTTATTAAAACCAACCAACTTAACTTTTATAAATCCAAACTAACTCTGTACATTCACAATAATGACCAGCATGTCTGGCTGTCTGAGCAAGAAGAGAAGACACAAAAAAACATGTGTATGTGAAATGGTTGGGGGGGGGGGGAGGAGGGGTTGTCGTCGTTAAACTATGACCATCTGCTGGTATTTTGCGATTAATTTTTTAAAATTTTAATTTAGTTTTTTACATGGAAATATTTTTTTAAATTCACAATAATGACCAGCAGGTCTGGCTGTCTGAGCAAGAAGAGAAGACACAAAAAAACATGTGTATGTGAAATGGTTGGGGGGGGGGGAGGAGGGGTTGTCGTCGTTAAACTATGACCATCTGCTGGTATTTTGCGATTAATTTTTTAAAATTTTAATTTAGTTTTCTACATGGAAATATTTTTTTAACGATGTAAGTTTATGGATATGCTTTAAATAGATTTTGAAGATGACATGCACCGTGCACGATAAATAGATACATTTGAAGATCAGGGGGGGGGGCGGTTGGGAAGGAAGAGGTCATTGAGATTAGACACTGTATTGAGCATCTCAGCTAAAGCGGAAGTTTAAATTTAGAAGTGCCAAGAGAGTTTTGCTACACAGGTATATCTCATGTCATTATCCAACACAATTGAAATTGTTTAAGAAATAGAGTAGAACAACGCTAGCCAAAAATGATTATCAGCGTGAAACCCATCAAGGGTCGGCAATATAGAGATTTGTGTCTGATTATGAATTAATAAGCAAATATAATCTTTGTCTATGATAGTTCATATTAAGGGTGAAAATGTTTTTTAATGCAAGGCTTACACTATACCAGTGGTTCTTAACCTTTTTGGAGGTACCGAACCCCACCAGTTTCATATGCGCATTCACCGAACCCTTTTTAGAAAGAAAAATAAAATATATATATATATTTTTTATTCCTGATTTTTTTTTGGACCTCCGCCGAACCCCTGAGACTGACTCAGCGAACCCCTGGGGTTCGATCGAAACCAGGTTAAGAACCACTGCCCTATACGAAAGCTTAAATGAGGACAGAAATGTCGGCGGGAAATAAAGATCGAAAATTAACAATTACATTAGACGAAAAATCTCTCTCTCTCCCTCTCTCTTTTTCTTTGAGATACGCTAATCGGCGAGAAATCAGTTTAAAAGCATTTTTTTTTCATAAAAAATAACTTCAATGGGAGTGTTTTGTTTGTTTGTTTGTTGGCGTTGTTAAACCTATTTGTTACGAGAAATGGTCAGTCCCGATTCAAGGCTTGTGAATGCATTATCCTGAGACCTGGCAAGCAAAAGCTGAGCCCGAGGCAAAACCTGAATTTAGAACCTCTCTTCCCAAAAGTATATATTAATACACATTTTTCACGGAAGAATGATGATTTACGCGCCCTCTGATGATTACGTCACTATGCTCCAGGCTGTGGTATTTGATTTGTTTGTGAGTTGAGCTCTAGTTTTTGTCAAGAAGAAGACGGGGAATTTTTGGCGATAGTTGGTCCTCTAAGGATGCAATCAGAATTCATTTATTATTGTTTAATTTAAAGGATTATTCAAGGGAATAGCCAATAGCTTCTGGGGCTATAGTAATTTGGCTTTCTGGCCATGAGCAATGCTTTAATTGAGGTCATTCTTTTCGTGAAAGGTATTATTATGAAGGGACTTGCCCCCCTAACCCCCCCCCCCCCTGGATTGATTGGATAAATTTTTTAGACAAAAATAGACCAAAAATTTATTAAATTAAAAAGAAAATAAAGAGAAAGTATNTTTTTTCTCCCCCCCCCCCCCCAGAAAGTTATTCGATTTTTTTTGCCCCCCCCCCTAGAAAGTTTTCTGCGGGCGCCCATGAGGCCTACTATTTGCATATTTTCTAACCGGCAAATTTCTATTTATGCCCTACTTCAGTTATATTAAAGTTACATATTGTATTTTTCTTTGTTAACTATTATGTATAAATTTGTACATGTTAAATTTAGGCTTCTAATTTGTTATAATTCACAAGAAATATTAAATCAATGTTTTTAGACAACCGAGCATTTGTCTTTTTGAAGATTTAACTCTGTTACCATGTTGCTCTATGCCAGGTTGCCAAAAAAATTAGAATCATTCATTTTTTATCTTGAAATAGAGGTTTGTCATTTCTTCATATAACTAAAAATGAACATACTTATTTTCTGACTATTCTTAGAATCAAAATTATTGTATGGCGTATTTTTTAAACGCAAGAGCCACAAAAATTTATTTTTGAACAAACAAACAGAAATAACAAGGTGAATAAGTGCAACAAAAACCTGTCATTGGCAGCGCTTGGTCGCAGATTAGAATCAACAATTTGTTTTTATGTTATGGAGTCAAGGCGCTTTTACAGACGGTTCCAAGCACTGTCAAATATTGCTAAAAAATCTCTTAAATTCGGGGCAGTGGTAGCTGTTGGAGTGGTAGTGTACAAAAAATGGCACAGTAGTAACAGTGTTCTACATGCGTCATGGACTACTAATTATGAACCAACCGTCAAATGGGATGCCAACTGGGACAGGCAAGAGAAGTCTCAAACTTGTGTAGCCGCTAAAAATAAAATAAATAATAATAATGAAATAAACAAATGAGGTGGGGGAAGGGGTGCACTAATTTGTGGCATGTGTGACAAGTGTCTGATTTTTGTTACAAAGTTGTGATTTTTTATCAGGGGAGGGAGGAATGGGGTAAAATTGGCTAAGGCAAGGCTAAGGGGGTTGTTCGCAAATTACATCCAGCAAAAAATGACCTTTTTAGACCCCACTCTCCCTCGTCACGAAGCGGCAAAAATTCTCTCCGTCCCCCCCAAGTTTCACGTCACACCTAAAAGAAAATCAAAACATACATACAAATTTTCATAACTACACTAAGACTTTATTTTATCGAAGTGGTTATGCGCACCCGACTGCGTATAACCCTGAGAGTTATACGCAGTCGGCAAGTCACGTGACGTCTATATTCTTCCTGTGTTACAGTATCAATCAATAAGGGGGCCTTGCTATCGGGGTGACTGTGTGGTCGAATGATCTAAACTGACCAAACCTCAAGTTGATGGTCTGGAGTTCAATTCCAGCCAACCGCAAGCCATGAATACGCGTTAGTTGCTATGCTTTTTCTCGAGAATGAAGCAACAACTAGGCTTATTGTTTTACTTTTTTTTTGGCTAAAAAATTTTAAAACATGAGAAGAATTATTAACTTGACCAATGTAATGTTAATAATGTTATACTTATAATTATCAAATATATGTTTGTGTTGTTAACTAATTTTGTGGCAGATAAAATCATGTTTCTCTGCTACAGTAATAAAAATAATCATGGGTTGAGAGTAGCAGGAAAAAAATCCCTGTAGGGGCAGGGGGTTCTGTAGAGGGGGGCACTGTAAGTAATACTTTCACACAGTTATAGTTTTGCATGGAAGCTGAAAACTGTTACATTTAGGTCATCAAAAAAAATCATAAATGATAAAATTTAAAAAAAGATAAATAGAATGTATTTCCTGAATTAGTCAGTAAAACTAACCACATAGTCATAGCAACATATAAAAACCTAATCAATCAGAATACATAACTAGACTTAGACCATGGAAAGGCCTTTAAAAAAAATCTAAGACTAAGGCTTAGACTCTAAGAAATGTAGACTTTGACTTATACTTAGAATTATAATATATAAGATACAAGCAATAATACTAATAATAGCACTAATACTAATACTAATACTATTGCTATCATCAATTTCAATATTAATTAAAATTAATTCAATTTTACGTTAAACACATTCAAAGTTCTAGTTCAAAACAACCCACCATGCAGCTCATTACGCATAATACTTTTTTTTTAATTGCCAAACTAGCGGTAATAAACCTTATTTGGCTAAATTCCCAGCCGACTGCGTATAACCCTGAGAGTTAAACGCAGTCGGCTGGGAATAACCCTCAGGGTTATGCGCAGTCGACTGCGTATAACGCTTCCCTTATTTTATTCTTTAAAATTTTCCCATAATGATAATGGATTAAGATGTAGTATTATTAGGAATCTGTGACGCGAAACAACGAAGTCATTCCAGCGCCGAATGTTAAATGGCCACAACAGTTTTTGCGCAGAAGGTGTGCGTGACTGAGGTTCACGTTACCTTTAATACCTGAGACAATTTCAACCTCAAACTAATGTTTTTAAAATTAATTGCATAAAGATTTATTAAAATTAAAAAAAAAATTTTTTTGACATCACAAATTTTTTGACCCCCCCCCCGTGTCACAAAGTGTCACTAAATGAATCATACATATGGCAAGGATTGCCTTTGAAACCTTTGTTTTAACTGTTTCTGTTACTATGAGGTGCACCTTGATTTCTTTTACAATAACCTTTGAACTTATTTTAAGGCTTGTTGACCACAATTTCTTTATGGACTTCAATAGTTCTGAATAGGATAGGATTTTACTCATTTTTTGACTTCTTTTAATTTAATAATGACATTATTTCATGTAACAGAAGGGAACCTGCAAGTTTATTGCCACCGCCTAAGGGCAACAGTGACGAAGAGCTAAATGACTACAATAGGCAGCTTAAAAACAATACCCCGGTTGCCAGTCGTCACCTTCTCCTTATTCGCCATGGACAGTATTTTGATAATGCCACCAATGACAAAGATCGTTTTTTAACGTCCATTGGTATGAAATTATTACGCTAAAAAAATTAAATTATTTTAAGCATATTTTTAAGTATGCCTAAAATTTGGTTATAATAAGTCTTTATGTTTTTAATTTCTTTATATTTTATCCAAAATTTATTTTGAACTTAACAAATAAAACAAAAATTGAAATCATAACATATGATTATTTTTTTTAGGTCGTGCCCAAGCAGAGCTGACTGGACTGAGGTTGAAAGAATTAGACTTGCCTTACACTGTTCTTATATCATCCACAATGACAAGAGCCATTGAGACAGCAAAGTTAATACATATGCATCTGCCAGAACTGGAATACAAACAAGGTTTTTAAAAAATTAATTTTATTTCTAATTTTCCATTTAATTTCCATTTAGATCTAGTTCTTTGTCAAAGAAAAAATATGTTGTCAATCATCATTTTCCATCTAGCCTTGCATATACATCAAATTTTGCATGTCTAATTTCCCTTCTGTTTTCTTTGAGTGAAAACTTTGTAAGCAAACTAGAATCAGAATTGAAAATGACAGTAAATTTGTTCTTTTAACTTTTGTATGGTTGGGAGATCATGGGCTTCTGGATACTGTTTTCCTGAGGTAGAAAAAATTTGTTTTTGAAAAAATGAAATGATTGTGTTTCAGATGACAGTTTGCGAGAAGGTGCGCCTATTCCCCCAGAGCCACCTTTAGGCAGTTGGCGACCAGAACAAAGGGTAAGTTTATTTCAAGGATACTGACTCATATCGATCTCTACTTTTTCTCAAGCCAAATTATAAAATTTCAGGAAATATGTGAAATAAGGTATGGGGAAAACCTGAAAAAAGGGCGAAAAAAAACCAACAAACTTTTCTGCAAGAAACTTTCTACTTTGTTTAAACAAAGAGTGACAATAATACAAAAAATTAAAATAAATAGTAAGCTTAAATGTAGTATCAGAGAACACAGCAAGAGATGCGTAATAGACCATTAGTAAGTAAGAGGGTTAATATAGGCCATAGGGGAAGTAAGAGAGGAAAAGTAAGTCAACAGCGATTGGCTGTAAAAAAGAAAAAGTTGAGAAACAGAATTAAAAAAAAAATCTATTTTACTCTCCTCTCTGACCCTGAAACTCACAACATTTTCTCAACCCCAACTCTCATTGTGTTCAGAAGATATAAGATATCTATGAAATCTCCTTGTTCATTGCCACCTCCGTGCTACTCCTTCCCACTTTGGGACCAAGCCATGTGGATGCACAACTTGCCCTTTTTTCATCCAGATTCATCACATTCTCTTCCTTAAGGATAGTTTTCAGATTAGGTATTGTTTCCCTTTCACCAGCAGCAATTTTATCTATGCCATTGTTTATACCCGCTGTCTGAGCAAGACCGGAAGGGATCTCTCGGACAGATGTACTGAGCACCTTTGAAATATGCAAGATAAACAGTGTCCTATCTCAAAAGCCATCAATAGAAGAGATCATAAGGGTTGCAGCAACTTGGCCAGCACTGCCATCATTTCCTGTACCAACACGCCCGCCAGGATGAACTTAGAGAACAAACTGATACACACTTAAACTTAAAGGAACTTGACACCACATGGCATAAATGTCAGATTCTCCTTCACTTGTTAAATCTTTTATCCACCCCTTCCTTTTTTTTTTTTTTTTTTTTCATTTTTAGGGCCCACGATCAATTCATTGATCATTATGGCTCCTGGCTTGAATTCAGAGTTAGCCTTCTCTTAGATGAGTTGCCTTCCAAGGCTTACACGTCCCATCCACCCGGGGTGCTTGGGATATTGGTGGGGATTGAACTCCAGACCACCACTATTTCAATTTGGAGTGATTCAGTTTAGATCACTCGGCCACCCAGCACTTTTTACAACTGACTGCTGTTGACTTACTTTTCCTCTCTTTGGCCTACATTAACTCTCTTATCTACAAATGGGCTATTACATTCCTCTTGATGTCGTCTTGGATAATACATTTCAGCTTAGAGTTTATTTAAATTTGTATATTTGTGTTACTCTTTGTTTCCCAAAGAAGGCTTCTTTCTGACACATTCATTATTTAGTTACATCCTTTTTTCAGATTTCCAATGCCCGGTACCTTGTTTTACGTATTTCCCTCTACTTAACCAGATTGCAGTCTCTCCCCAATTATGTTATAACATTTCAATAACAATTTTTTTAGCCTGTTTGGGCATATAATAAATATCCATGATATAAATACAGGGCAGTGTTTAAAACACCTACATTTATTTATATAGGATTGCAGAATATATATTTGTAGTTATTTTTTCTCCTGGATCTTCACTTGAACCGTGTTGTTGAAATAAAAAATATTGCTAATTTTGTGATATAAAATTTTATAAACAAAATTCCTTTTAAGTCAAATAATTTGTTATAATTTCAAATCTTAAATTATTTTTGACGGCATTGCTACTTCTGTACTTAAATTTATATTCCTGAGAAATGAAAGTAATTCAGTGTGCATTTCATTTTTATTTCTAAAATATTTTTTCAAGCTGCTAAATATTAATGAAATATAAATCCATCCAGAAATGAGCAAGCTTTAATAAAACTATAACATTAACAGCGAAAAATAACTAGCAATGTTCGAATCTATTTTTTGCACCTCGAACGCATGTTAGATATAGACACGCCATACTAAGGCACACTTAGCTTTAAGTGAAACTAGATAAAAACTTCCGGGTTTAAATTGAAACCATGACATTGTGATAAATCTCAGGGGAGGTGAAATTATGCTGCCATTTTAAAATGGAAATGAAAGAGGTTTGTCACTATGTGCCATGATGCATTTTGACTCAGCTGTCAAAACACCAGAAAGGTGCATTTAATTGCAACCACCAAGAATGAGTTAATTTTTTAACTTAGATTTTAAAATTTAATACTGTTGATATTAATATTATCAAAAGCTTGTCTTGTGCAAGTCTTGAAAAATCGTGATGGGGATATATATTTTGTTTTGACATGCATCAGACTCATGTGCTAAGAGCGTGCTAGTTTAGATGATGTTATAAATTTTACACAATAAAAAAATGTCCTTTGATATGGACTCGTATGTGCTCTCTTCTAGCAGTTCTTTCAAGATGGAGCTCGAATAGAAAGTGCTTTTAGGAAATATTTCTTCCGTGCTGACCCAGCCCAAAAGGATGACAGTTATGAAATTATTGTGTGTCATGCAAATGTTATACGGTATTTTATATGCAGGTAAGTCTTGAGTTTGGATTTTGAATTCACTTACCAGTTGATGTTATCATAAATTGATTGTTTTTTCATTTAGTCTCAATTAAAAAAAAACTTTTCCAATTTTCTCAAAATTAAATGTTATTTTTCCATTTTAAGTTAAATCAGCATAGTGTTCTCCACGAGACTTTGGGAATGGGTGCTCCAGCTTGATCACTTTAATTATGAATTAAAATTGTGTACTTTCTGTCATTTTAAACTGCTTTCACCTGGTTATCCTGTGTGATGCCATCCATCTTGGAGAACACTAGCTAGTTTTTAATTAATTTGTTTCCTATTTAAATCATTTGTTACTTGGCGTATACAAGGATGCAAAGGACATAATGAGAAGAAAAAAAAAACATTGGTTAAAAAATTCAGTATTTCAAATTCCAATATTTCAGGGCACTTCAGTTCCCACCAGATGCTTGGCTGCGCTTTTCTTTAGCTCATGGAAGCATTACTCACATATGCATTCGACCAAGTGGTCGAGTCACAGTAAAGTCTGTGGGAGATCATGGGCATATGAATGCTGAGAATATTACATGCAACTAGTACTTTTAAAAAAAGCATTTAATTCTTATGGTGCTCTGATGACCTTTGAAGTGCCAGTGTTGTATCACATGTTTGAGTACATCCAATTTTTAAGTTCATGTTTGAATTTGTATACAGTTGTTGCTTTTACTATTTTGTTGAATACATACATCATCATCAATTTATACTTCTATGATTGACATTACTAATTTAGAGAAACAAAATTAATATGTAAAATTTTAGTGTAAGTGCTGATAATTGTGAATCTTGATGTTGAAGGATATGGGACTTGTTTGTACTTTCTTAAAGAAAATTTATGTACATTCTTATACCACTTGTTTGACACAACGTTCAACTTTATAAAAATTGTTTGACACAATGTGTGACCTTATACATGTTAGACAAAGTACAACTTTATACCAGTTATTTGACACAATGTACAACTTTTTACTTATTGTTTGAACCAATGTACAACTTTATACCAGTTGTTAGAGACATAGTACAACTTCATTTACCCAGTAGTTTGACACAATGTACAACCTTATACATGTTGTCTGAGACCAACAGAATTTTTTTTAAACTACTGGGTACTACTTCCAGTTCTAGTGTTTTGTATACTTTTAATTGTAACATAATTTGAGAAAGAAGAAAGATGTGAGTTAAGTTTTCTTGCAGGTATATTGTAAAGCTTCATGTCCAACACTTTTATTTCTACCTGAGCTTGACTAAACTGTTTTAAGTTTAGTCTGTGAAGCATTATTATTCATTTTGTTAAGCATTTTTTATGGTCTTACCAATGTATGTATTGTGCGAGATGGATTGTTTGTTCAAACAAAGCCAACAATAATTCTGAGCAAATCTGATACAAGTCGATGAACCAGGATATTCACTTGAACTGTATTTGTTCCCCATAGAGCCCTGCAGTTCCCAGGGGAAGCATGGCTTCGACTTTGTGTTGCCAACTGTAGCATGAGTCTGATCACCATTCAGCCAGATGGACTTGTTGTGCTGGAGATGATGGGGGACCATGGACACATTGACCCTGAACAAATTTCATTTCATTAACTGTAAATTATAGTAGGTACCAAATGTGTTGGGTTACAGAAAAAAACCTCTTTATGTTCCCTAAATTTTTTAGCCCCTGCCTACTTGGTGATGGCCCCTAAATTTAAGGAATTCATAGTGCATCCACTTAAACTAGAAACAAATATTACAGTATTTTTCAGGGTGATGAACAACAGCAAGACCCAGCATGGAAGATAAAAATCTGAGTATTTTTTTTTCAAATTGGACTCCTACTTCAATTACAATGTAAAGTTAGAATGTATGTCATGTGTCAGCATGATGAAGACGACTGATGGTGTAATCTTATGCCACCTGTGTTCAGTCTTCCTACTTACGTGCTGGAGGATTTTTAAACTCAGGATTTACCTCCTCTCCAAAAATAGTTAACAACTAACATTTCCATTTCATCCTCCTTCTTCTTCTATATATTAAGAACGGCCCATGATCAATGTATGGATCATTTTTTGGGTGACCAAATAAAATTATAATTGCTACCTCTCGGATTGTGAAGCAGACAAAAAAAACAAACAGTTATTAAAATAAACAACATACTTTACAAACATAATTTAACGGTTTGGCTATGTTTCTCATTGTAATGCAGTTCAACATCTTTAAACATTGAGACATTTTTGTGCTGAACAAAAAAATTAGCAATGACTCTTGAGAAGTTCATAATTTAAATATTTAGTATGTTGTTTATTATGTAATTTGCTAAAACAGTATCAGCTTCCAAAAGTATATTTTTGTCATAGGTCAACTGATAAACTTATCTTGTATTGTTCAATAAATATGTTCTTTCTAATGGAAAGCTCTGTTTTTGCACAGGTTACAAACTAGACATCAGAATCTGTGATGACAATCATGTGTAACCGGCCACAAATTGTTTGAATACTGTATGTAACATCTTCCATGTGAGACGGACTTGCCCACATTGTACATGGACCTTAGCATTCCACAAGAGTTCTTAACAATTTCTATCATTATTTTCTTAAATTGTCTTTTATCTTCAAATCTTTTGAGATGGATATTTACAATAAAACTATAATTTCATCACGGTGGTTCAAATATTTCTATAGTTCAGCCTTGTTCGCAAAACTGGAAAGGTGACTCCATTTTTAAACTGTGCCTGATTTTTTTTTTTTTTGGCAATATTTCTTTGCTTTAAAACTGCAATGTTTTAAAATATGCTTGTTTTGAAATCAAATAAATGTTATTATGCTTAAATGGAAGCCATTCTTTTCTTTGTTTTATCAAGGTAAATATAATATATATAATGGGCAGCAATATTATTTTTGTGATTTAAAGTGGCATGGTAAAAAAAGTCAGATGTGCAAGCTTGTGTTGAGCTGTTCACAAGGCCAATTCTGAAAAAGATTATTTAAATAATAATGAAATTTGCATGCACCCCAGCTTGTTCTTTTATTATTGCAAGAGCTAAAATGAAAAAAAAAAAAAAAAAACTTCAATGAAACACATTATCATTAAGGATGGTGTCAATGAGAAGTATGAGCTTGTTTGATATCAGGGGTAACTCATAAATAAATTCAAAGCTTTTGAGCAATACAATAAAAAAATTGTGCAAAATCTCATTACCATAGCACTGTTTAAAATGGACAGAAAAAAAAAGAACAATAAATTCCCTTGGGTTCCCAAACATTACCATCTGTGCTACTAGCCTCATAATCATAATTCAATATACTGGACTGACACTATTTTTAAAACACAATACACTGTTTACAATGAAAATCATCAATAGCATTCAGGAGCTCTAAATCAGGTCTAATTTTAAGGCATACTTTAGACCAGTCTTTCCTTTTATAATTAATTTCTGAGCGGAAGCCCCTTACAACCAACCTATGTCTAACAGGTTGGAAAAACTGCTGTAGACAGTGTTTACATAGATCTAATTTGTTTCATTTTGCAGAAAAAAAAATAGTTTCAGTCACAATGATGTGATCAAGTGTTTTCCTGTTAGGTTAATAAACCAGCTTGAAAGATGATTTTAGTTTTATCAATGTGGTTATCAATGCACACATTTTGCATTGACTGGATTTTATTTTCAATAGTGTGTACTGCATACTTTAAAAAATGTACAAGGATTTAAGCTATAGATGTAAAGTTAAAGATTGTCAAGTTTATTTATTTATTTATTTAGGCATTTTTATATAGCGCTTACCTTAAAGCTCTAAGCGCTTTACAATTATTAAAAACATGTAAACTAACTAAAATAAAAATGAGACATTAGGATAGTAACTACTATACTATAGAAACAATTAAAATGGCTATAAAACGAGGACACTGGCACGTTTTGGCCTATATTACAGGATTAACCCGAGACAGAAAATGAGGCAGGGCAAGGAGGGTGCGTCACAGGTCATAGGCGGACCTAAACAGATGGGTTTTAAGGGACTTTTTAAAAGTGGACGAGGTTTCACAATGACGGATATGGAAGGGGAGCTGGTTCCAGAACGTGGGCCCATGGAAGTAGAAGGAGCGTTCACCGATGGTCTTAGTTTTGGTTCTTGGGATTGAGAGGGTTCTATTGTCAATGGAAGAGCGTAGTTGTCTTGTGGGGATGTAAGGAAGCAACAGTTCAGAGAGATAGACAGGAAAGTGAGGGTCAGTGAACGAGTTGAAGCATAGATTGGCAGACTTGTACTTGATGCGAGAGGATATTGGAAGCCAGTGGAGTTGCCGCATGTGTGGTTGAATGTGGTCATGTTTCTTTGATTTAAAAATGAGTCTGCATGCTGAGTTCTGTGCCTTCTGAAGTTTGTCTATGTGGTGTTGAGGAATGCCTGCGAGAAGAGTGTTACAGTAGTCAAATTTTGAAAGAATGAGTGAAGAGACGAGAGTTTTTGTGACATCAAAGGAGAGGAGGTGTCTAATGGTGCTGATTTTTCTAATTTCGTTATATGCTGATCTGCATATATTCGTGACATGTTTGTCCATGGAGAGGGTGTCCGTAAGCGTGACTCCAAGGTTTCTGGCAGAGGGAGAGAGTGTGATGTCAGAGTTGCCAATAGATATAGAAGAAGGAGCGAATGGAGGGAGAGGTTTGTTTTGAGAGTGGATGAGAAGGATTTCCGTTTTATCATCATTTAGCTTCAGTTTGTTGCAAGTCATCCAACGCTTTACGTCGTCCACGCACTCCTGTATGCGAAGGATTGTGGCATCAAGTTGATCAGGAAAGCAAGAGTCACTGATTTGAGTGTCATCAGCAAAGTGATGTATAAGTGTAATTTGGGAGGACTGTCTTCACGTTTAAGCAATAGGAAATATTAGAAAGATCACAAAACTCTGCATGATGTTATATTTTTAAGTAGTATATTATTATGATTAAGGTGGTTTTATATAGCGCGGTACCCCAGACTAAGGCTCACTGCGCTTCACATAAAAATGAGCAATTACAGAAAATTATATACTTAAATACAATTGGTAAAAAGCTTGACCTCACCAACTCAAGTACTATCTAACCCTGTCTAGCCATGGACAGCACCCAGCAGCATAGACAGTTTTTTTATCAGTTAGAGGGGTGGAATGAGTCGGTATAGTAGCAGTAGAGTTTGAAGAGATGGGTCTTGAGGGCAGTTTGGAAGGCTGGGAGGGGTCGGTATATTGCGGATGTGTAATGGGAGAGCACTCCATTGGGGGCACAGAAAGTTCATTCTCTATCTGTTTTAGGGCATTTTCTGGGAACAGAAAGAATAAGTGAGTCTGCGGTGGAACGAAGCTATCGAAGGGGTGAATAGACAGAAAGAAGTTTAGTCAGATAAGAAGGGCAGGAACCAGAGAAAAAGTTGTGACAGAGAACAGACAGCTAACAATCAATGCGTGCTGTCAACTCCTATAGTCTTCTTGGATTGATTACATTCGTCAAGTTCTTTTCACACGTTGAAGCGTCATACTATTCCTACTATCATTGAACAAACTCAACTCCTTTTGATAATAATTATAACTTTAATGTCTAAGTAAATATAATACACATAACACTTGAATATAGCGCCTGTATAGGAAGCCAATGGAGTGAGTGAAGTGATCACGTTTCTTTGCCTTTAGAACGAACCTAGCAACTGCGTTTTGAACTTTCTGTAGTTTTTCTATCAAATGTTTTGGTGAACCTGACAGAAGAGAGTTACAATAGTCAAGACAAGAGAGAACAAGAGCACAGACTAGTTTTTGTTGCACCGTGTTTCATTCAATATCATTTAATTAAATCGTCAAAATTTGCACGCGGTACAGTATAGGTCAATCTAGGAGTGTCCCATGTCTTATCAACAAAGATTCTTGCGGCAACAGAACAGGCTTAGGAGGTCAGGTAGAATAATCATTTGAGTAAGAGGCCCGGGAAGGAGATGAAGAGCACGGTGGGCTGGGAAGACTTACTTTACTCAAACATAGGAGCAATATGCAAGACCGAATTCAAAAGTACATGTAAGTTGTAACTAGCTATATAGATTTTTACCCAAGTGATCATCTTAGTGATCTGTTATTCTCAGAGAATAATTTAATTCAGCCAAACATTAAAAAAGAAAAAAAATTAATTTAATTAAATAAATTATTTTATTTCAAGACAGAAAAAATTCATTTCAAAGATTTTTGTAAAGCATCTGTATTCTGAACTTGTTGGATCAGGTACACCTATTGGTCCTTACAAATCTTTTCCAAGATAAATTAAACTGCTGTATGCACACCTATGGCTAATCATAAAAATTCACCAACTATAATAACTATATGATATATGAATTTCTCCCTAAATTTTCTGCTATGATAAATTTTTAAATCAGTGTCACACAACTGTAATATATTGACTAAAATTTCATAAAGATAAATCACAATAAATGTAGACAAAATTGTCAAGTGAAAGACGGAATTTCTTCTTCTAGAAGCATTATTGATCCAAGCTTTGGGGTTATTAAATTTTAAACAATTCTCAATTTACAATAACATGCAGTTTACATTGAAAGAATGTATTTTTACAATTTTTTTTAACATAATTAAATTTTACATAGAAATTATATTATATGCCACCTTTGATAAACCTAGGTTGTTTCAATTCACAGAATGTGTTTTGATTACACAGGAAACTTACAGCCCTTCAAGAGTTAGTAACCAAAGGTTTATATTAACATTATAACCCAATGGAGTTGTAAACACCTTTTGAGACATCAGGAGTTTTATCTTCTTGTTGTACTTGACTTGAAAAGAGCCATATCTGAAGTGCGAAATTTGAAGGATTGATTAACCCATTGTAGCCAAGAGAGGTAATGAACTCAATAATTGCAAGTGTAAGATAAGTAATTACAAGTGTAGTTTAAGTAATTGCAAGTGTAATATAAGTAACCTCCAAGATTATCTGCATCCTTGAAGGATGACTAAATATAACTTATTTGTAATTTTGTCAAATGACAAGATAGTGATGTGTTACAAAAGCAAATAAATAAATCAACTGATTTTTAAAAGGTGCTTTTAATTACCATTTTTTATTTTCACAAAGCTGAAATCACTTAAAATTACCGTATTTTATTTCCCAAATGCTGAAATCACTTAAAATTACAGTATTTTGTTTCCAAAATGCTGAAATCCCTTAAAATTATTTTTGTATTATCTATTTATTTCTAATCTTCACATCAACGGCATTAAGGCATTCCATTCATTCAGGGAATTCTGGTTAAAAACAACAAGTAAATCTCCTACCTGTCCTTTGCTGAATCTGGCCCTGGCATTGGCGACTAGTTGGACCTGTGCCCCCGCAGGTTGTATCGACTGGGAGCCGGTGGTGATGCACTGACCACAGTAGAGGAACTGGACACAAATTTCTTCTTGTTCAATATACTTGGTGTTTAAACCTTGATAAAGAGAGACCAAATAGGATTACAAGATTTCAGTGTCATTTGCCGCATCCACATTTGAATTAGGATTTCAATGTTTTTTGTGGGCCATCTCAAATTTTTTTGTAGCAATCTGACTTTAAACTGAATATTTTGTTTAACAACACATTCCCCTTTCTTGGCTTTTCAATGGTATCTCACAGAAAGGTCAGAGTGACAAGATTTCATATGCCAGTAATTGTTTGCAGCAACGTAGTCTATCAGATAGCGAGCAGAATTTGAAATTTCATAAATATTTACTTTATATCTTTTTGCCCTGCTATTCAAAAACACAGAACGCCACTTGAGCATTCTCAGCAAGTGTTATTTAATGTATGCCCACAAAGCCAGATTTTAAGTACCTTTCATCATTACAAAGCATAACATTTTCAAAGACACAATCACACCCACCGAACAAGATGTTGATAAGAGCAAAATTGTAAACAAACATGAATTATGCAGTAAGTTCACAACATATAGTGAAAAATAAACATTAATGAAATTCAAACACACGTTAATTTCCTTTTTCCTTTACATGTAAAAAATGCCTGAGCAATATATCAGCTCAAATGCAATTCACAGCCCTCTGAGACTAGGAGACTATCTATGCAGGAGAATAATAGCTACGACGGCTTCTTATCTACTTGGGGAACCACCAAATGATTTTGATGGTATTACCCTGCCGACTTCAAGTGGTGTTTTGAAGGTGTACCCCAGCACAAGACCAACAACTTAGCACAAAAAGTGCCATAAAAATTGTCACTGAGAAGATTTTTTTAAAATTTGTGTCAGAGCTCAAATTTTGGCGTCAGAAGAAAGAAGTGTTGTTTGAAAGTTAGAGGCATAACTCAACAAATATCGTAATGTTATGCCGGAATAAAAAAAAAACCTAGTGTAAAAGAAACTTAGTTATTGAACATTAATAAGCACAATTTTTGATATTTCAAACCACAATGCACTCAATCTGATAAAGTGATATTTCACACCACAATTAACTCAAAATGATAAATTTATGATATTTCACACCACAATCAACTCAGTCTGATAAATTGATTTAAACAAAAAAAATTCTTGTTGAACAGCATTCTCAGAGGAAATATGATATCAGTGGAATTGACACAAACTTAGCAAAAAACGTAGAAAACGCTTTGTTTCAAATAAAAAGGAAGAAATCAGAAAACGTGCAGCAACTGAAGTTGAAACACTGTCCAATGATGCAGATGATGATAGTGAGCATGGTGAGGAAGAAGTTGTTTAAGGTCAATAAACATCATCAAAGTAAGTCAAGTGTAAAAAAAGTACCTCATCTGGAGACGTTTTCTAATATTTGGCAGCTGCACAAGATTGTTAGTCTGTTAGTTAGTGCTTACACTTCATTCTTAGGAAAAGTACTCAAGACTTCACTGAGGCAGTACTCAAGACTTCACTGAGGCAGTACTCAAGGCTTCACTGAGGCAGTACTCAAGACCTCACTGAGACAGTACTCAAGTCTTCACCGAGGCATTACTCAGACTTTTTTGATGCAGTATGCAAGACTTTACTGAGGCAGTACACAGACTATGCTTTTCATTCTGAATATTTGTGCATGTTATTTGTTCATATAGAATTAAAGAACGTAAGTGCACATCACTATTTGTTTACTTGAATGTTTTGAGCCACCCCACTCTTGTCATTTATTTACTCTCAGTAGGCTTGGCCAAACAATGTCTGTGTGTGACAGTTTACCTATATTCAAGCTAGGCTTGGCCTCCAGGCCTTCTCTGGCAGTGTTAGCTGGGAAAAATATGCAACTGTGATTCGTCCCCTGTGTTGTTGCACTTGGATCTTGAAGGAATTCGGGAATGTTGGGAAGTGCTTGGAAATCTGTTCGGAACAAATGCTTGATAAAATGAAGTAGTTAATATTTCAAACACTTATCAAAGCTTGGGCAGAGCAGGAATTTATATCAACAGTGTCCTTTCAGTGAGAATCTTTTGTTTATTTTAATTAGCACAATAAATCAATTATTTGTTTAAAGAGCCATATTCTTAGGTATTTTAATCTTAAAGTCATTTGCCATGTACAACTTTACAAGTCAGCCTAAGGCCATGGTGAAAAATGTGCAGGTCGGTCTCTGAGTGCTGCTGTGTTCTGGTCACCGCTGCTAACGCCATTTGCAGTTAATAAAATGTTGAGTTCATCATCATTAATTTTGGGTTGTTTGAAACTTCTTTTATCCCCGCTTTGAAAATTTTGAATATTCAAAAGCACCACATCCGTAGGCAGAGGATGAAACTACAGAATCATTCTGAATCTAACACTTGCGCAGAGACTTTCAAGTGATTTAAAATTTAATGGTCAACAACTTAATATGTCTTTATTTAATTAAATAAAACGGATACTGATATCTGCTACAGACCTGCATCACGCTTATCTCCCAGCAATACACTGCCACAGTTGGAGCACTTGAATTCCACAATTCTGGCCTTGTCCTACAGATTTAAAACATATTTTGTCTACTCATAAAAATAGAATTATTTTTTTTTTAAATTTGCTAAACATGTAACTAAATGTATAACAATAGCAATCAATTAATTTGAAAGCATTTTGATTATTTTTTAAAAGTACAAGCTCAAGTTTTAACAAAACATTATTTTAAGTGCACAGATTAGTCCCGTTAGTACATAACAAAAAAATGTGTACGAAAAAAATCCAAATGACAGCAATGTTGTTCGCACAAAGAGTAAGCAAAGGAAATGTCAAAGGCTACATATAGAAATAAATTTCCAAACTTCTGAACCTCTCGGAGAATGATGACGGGTGCTTCCCACAATCAATGCCAAAGGTTCATTTGAATTTTTAAAATCACTCACCGCACGAGTTAAAGATTCACTCCTACGGTTATCTCCCTTACATTTCTTCCTGCCGCCAGTCTGTGTTAAGCTTGTTCTCCTCTTTGACTTGCGTCTGATCAAAATTTCCTCCTCTTGTGATTCTGCTTTCTTCTCATCTGCATCGGGGGCCACAAAAGTTGAAAGGGGAGATTTTGTGCACTCCGTGACTTCTTTATCACTTGATTCTAACGCCTTGCTGCCACGTGCTGGTGTTTTCGGTGTGGAGTTAACCAAGTGACTCACGTCTGCTCCAGTTATTCCAACTTCTGTTGGGCTCTTCTGTAGTTTGAACAACCTCTTCTTGTTAGTGGTAGGAGCATGTGAGACGATGACCCTATCAGCAGGCAGGTTAACAGAGTCTGAACCCATCGCGTGATTTGAAGGGTGAGCAATGTTTGAGTGTTGAGTCAACAGACTAGGACGGTCATCAGATGGCAATAGAGAACTAGATGAAGATTCCCCTCCCGTCGTCGTGTCCACTTTTAATGAACTCTTTTCACATAAAGGAGACGTCACCTCAACACCTGGTCCAACTTTGGATGGGGTTTGATTCAAATGAGATGAATTCAGGTGACTTTGTGTGTGGCTTGGTTCTGCTATCTCTTTTTTAGGTGTCACAAATAGAGTCTGTCTAACGGTTGGCTTAGCTTTATTGTGAGGTAATGTGGAAAGCATCTGGTGCGATCTAGAATCGGAAGACACAGTTGGTGCTGACAACGGGGTCTGTGTAGTGGAACAGCTTGACATTGACCCCAGAACGCTGAGATTCCGAGCCTCTGATACAGGCACAGATTGAGGTAGAGCCTGTTGAGTCTCTGGCACAGTATTTGTCTTCACAGCATCTGGAATAAACAGGGAACTTGATGAATTAGAATGGTGCAGAGCCAACATTCTGTCCTTTTCTTCTTCAGACATCTTTATGATTTTTGCAGAAGGTTTGAGCCCAGGTGAAGCTGGTGGCTCAATGATGTAGACAAGTCTAATTTTGTTAGACAAGGGCAGTCGGATATTCCCGCCAAATAAGACATGAAGTTGTTCAGGAATTTCGAAAATATGTGCGCTTTGCCCAGGTTTAGCCACCTCTGTTAAAATCCTGAGTTTAACTTTGTCTCCTGGCTCAGAAATTGTCTCTACAACAGATGCTGGACTAACTGACGACTGACCTGGATCAGAGGTATTTATACACTGGCTTGGCAGTCTTTTCTGGTTAACTGGAGTCAGAACTAAGTCCCTGGCAATCTCAACACAGCTCAAATCCTGTTTTTTAGATACATCCTCGTCACTTCTGCCGCCACCCACTTCAATGGGGTTAACTGCACATGAGCCAGGTGTTTGAGGGCCAACGGAGAGCTGACGCTTGACGAGATGAGACAATTTTTGACTGGGCGTCAAGTCATTTCCTGACAAAAGCTCGTTGGACTTACTTCTCACACCTCTCTTCTTAAAAGCCCCAATTGTTTTTCCACTGGCTTCAATTTCCTTTTTAGACGACTTCATGGAACTGAAGATTGAAAAGTTTTGCTGAAAAGAAATTGAAAGGAAGAAATAAAACAAATATTTTCAACTTCAATTTTCCCATGCTGAAAATGTTTAATGTGATTTAAAAGCCATTAATAGTTTAACTGGAGCTCAGAATCCGAAACGTTTCTTATTCTCTTTAATTAACTTGAATATGAATATTTTATCCCATTGTTTGGGAAGTTACATTAAAATTTAGCACCTATTTTATTTAAAACAATGGGATGGATTATAACATAGTTAAAGGTGTCAGAACTCAGCTAGATATTGATCTAAAATGAATTTGATAAATGCTATATTAAAGTTAAAGATCATAGACTTTAGTTTATATTTTTAAAAAAAACAAACATATTTCATAGTTGGAGCTGAAGTGTAACAAAATTTCTCAACAGCAAACTTAAGGACAAGACAAAAAAGCTGAAAAGATTTACTTGAATGACTTGAGTAACTGGTATGGTAAAGCGTCTGTCTGGGGTGATTTCATGAAGTGGGGTGATCTCATGAAGTGGAGCTCTAGGGGTTGAGTTGACACCGGGTGAGCTGAACAGTGAGATGTCTGACCTGTTCACAAAGTCACTTCGTAATTTAAATGCTCTAAGTTCAACCGATCTCTTTGTAGTTCAATAAGGCACTTAAAGTCCGTTTTTTCCCCATTTTAAAAATCCCTATTACATTCATGGGAGGTGCAAGACTTAGTCCAATAATTCGTAAGGGGGGTCCAAGACTTGGAAAAGTTTGGGAAACACTGTCACAGCTTGCTTAAAAAATATTTAAGTCTTGAAAATAGGGAAATCTAGTTTTGTGAGCTTAGATTTTGTTTTAAAACCTTTAAAACATGTAGAACAATATTTAGGGCTGGGGTCTTTATTTTAAATATATTGTTTCTTTTAATGTTTTCAAGTTGGTTTTTTTCAATACAAATTACAAATAAAATATGTGCAGTGTGCATAAAATTCTTCCATATATTTTTCAAGCTCTAGTTCAGCCCCTCACATTGTCTGAGGACACTGATCCGGCCCCTTGTTTAAAGCTCTAACCCTAACCCTAGCCCCTGGTTTAGGACTTAGAGGGTAGGGTAAAAGTTTATGAAAGAAGCAACCATGTAAAACTTGTCGTTTATGATATACATTTTTTTTTTGTATGGTTTAATTCCTATTCTGAAGACAAGTTTTCATAACTCTGTTGGGATCCATTTATACAAAAATATAAAGTCGCAATATGCCAGGCAAGCAGCTCATGTAAGTATAACTCTATGTATGGATATTTATACAGATATAAACATATATATTTGTTTTTAAAAAGAAAAAAGAATTTATGTCCATACTTGGATTCCTTGTCAGCCTCCATCCTGACAGTGATAAACTCACACAAAGAGTTCATAGCTTTAGAGAACTCCTGAAAGGGTTGAATCTTGTTACGAACCCACTTGGACAAGCCTGAAAGGAATGGACAATTTCATATAGAAATAATATAAAACAATAAGCTCTTAAATGAGCTCTATGAACACAAAGATGACTGCTAACAATGTTGACATCAATGAACAGAGATGACTGCTAACAATGTTGACATCAGTGGCATTAGAAAACAAAATGTGTCATGAGCTCAACCAGGTTCTCTGATTGAATTTTAAGCAGTCTAAATCAGAAAATGTCACAAAAACCAATAACATGACTTTTCACAGATAGTAAATGTGCACGACAAACAGAGCAACAACTGGACTCATGGTGAATGCGTGAAGCAGATTTGACAACTGCAAGGATTTTAATGAAAAGTTTGTAGACAAAGGAGGTGCTTTGTCAAAACAGAAAGAATCTCAAGGCTTACCATTACAGTACTTGGGTGGATCTTTGAGGAATCTCTCATCCACTATAATCAAAGCTCCCCAATCTTGCCTTTTGGGGGCGGGGGGGAAAGAAGAGAATACTGTTGTTAGGAAATATTTAACATTCACATTTACTTCTGCACATTTATGTTTAATTATTATGGCTATATTTTATGAAATTTATTGTAAATAATTTTATTTTATCCCCGCTAAATAAATTTATAAAATAAAACAGCTGTTCCATATTGCACACATCCTGTCCACAAGGTGATATCATCTACGAGCGCCTGATACACCTATGCCAAGGGCATGAGAATCACTGTTGTTATGTTTGGAATGGAAAAGATGTTTGGTGTAGGGAGTATATGTGTAGCCTTATCTATTATGTGAGTTGGGTAAGGGGAAATGGTGTGTTAGTTTTGTTTTTGTTATGGTGGGCAGATGGCCGTACAGCAGAGTTGAAGGATATTCACTGTTTAGCTTGTGTGTTGCGGACTTCGGCGGGATGTATTTTTAAGGAAGTACTTTGATTTTCTTAACCCATTGGATTTTAAGTACAGCATACATTACTGTGCCATGTTGTGATGATGTGTAAAAAACGTATAGCGTGCAACAAACTGTTCAGGGTTTAGTGTATTGGAATGGCATCAGTTGCACTGGTCTGTGGGGACGAAGTGAGAGACAATGTCCAAACAAGTAGTCTAGGTTAGATGAACACTGGACATTGAGACGTACATTTCAACAACCTACCATTACCTGAACTCTTGGATGCCGAGTAGGTTTATGTTTAGCCTTTGTTTTACAAGTTTAAAGTTCATTAAAAAATCTACCTGTGCCTGATACACCTCCCCAGGGCCTGATTGAGGGCCCGAAATCCTTGTATCTCATACCACTGTTGTCCACTCAGTAGGCCACGACTTTTACGATGGTTGTCATTGTACTGTCTCTTTTGTTCTACCTGAGGTACAAGGAAATAAAATTTAAGTTCTTGATCTTTGCTAGCCACATTACAGGTTATTGAGTGAGCAAATGCACACTCTGGCTATTAACCTTGTTATACAGCTATAACCATTTAAAGCCCTAACCCTAATTTTTTTTCAAAACCAAGAAACGTATTAAAATGATATATCTGTAACAAATTAAAGTAACACAATTCTGAAGCAGCATTAAAATCATTATTTTTACCTGAACATCTTTGTAGTTAGGAAATGGAATGCCCACCTGAGTGAGAGAACCAAAAAATTCAGGTTAAATTATTAAATTAATTCTCTTATAACTTATATTGAAACTTATTTACAAAAAAAAGATAAATATATTTTTGGTATAAAATGGTGAAAATCTGAACTTGACAATTTTTTAATCTCTTCTTCTGATGTGTCCCCCCCCCCCCTCTCACAATATGATTTCAACTCTTTTTGATCTATGTGTTTCCATTCAACATCCTAAGCAAGTGATAAAGCTAATTTTTTTAAAATCAACTTGAGATCCCCCCCCCATCAATTGTTGATACTAGCCATGCAACTAGTCAAATGGTAATATAATTGAACTCACACTGATGACAGCTCTAGCAAAGTTGTCGGCAAAATCTAAGCCTTCACTGACTTTTCCTCTACAGACGGCAAAGAAAATGGCTCCATTAGTGTTTGCTTCATCTGTATCGGATTAAGAAAGTTCAAGGCTAAGGCAATGCAAGAACATCTACCTAACATTAACAAAGTAAGTAAATTTTAAGTAAAAATCTCAAGGAGTGAAGTGGATTAAATTTTATTTTGTAGGAAATCCTTGTAGGAGCTTAACACTGATGATAATTATGGATGGTGTTAGGTTGAAAAAAAAACACCACAAACTATATTACCCTCATCGGCACCAGTTGTTTTCATGGCCTCATAGAAAATATCCATCTGGCCCTCAAAGTCTAATTTGTCTGAGCCACGTGGTTCTTTAATGATCTTTTTTATGTGAGACAATTTCTTCATGAGACCAGTGCTCTGGAATATATTTAACAAAATAAAATATCAATTTCAACAAAATGATAACAAAATATTCATCGGAGTCTTTTTTTATCTTTGTGTTTAAACAATGCAAACATTCTCAATTTTCAAAAAAAATTATTTTGACCCAAGAAAAAAAAACAAAGCAAAAAACTTATATTTTTACCTCCCATCGACTTGTCACTTTCTCCAGAACTTTATATGAAGGCAAGAAACACAGCACTCCATATGGAACAATCTGATAATTTAAAAATAAATAGTTATACAAAAAAAAATTGTGCATGCGACAGTTTGACTCTCACAATGTGACACATTTGACACTCACAAGAGTCACATACAGCTAACTAAAAGAACCAAAGTTGCGAGGGACACTGTTGTAAAAGTGATTCAAATTAAACATTCTTAACACATCCAAACTTATCTTTAGATGATGATTTAAATTCTCAAGGTCCAAATAAAATTGTTGACAAACCTCACAAACCCTCAGCACCAAGCCTCCCAGTTCATCCTGGTAACCGAATGTTTCAAGATTCCTGAAGACGGCTTGAAGCTTCCCTCCAGTCGGACCCGATCCTATGGTGCCCACCCACACCTAAAAATAAACTCAGTATAAAATAGACAGAACAAATGGGAAAAAAAAAAGTTTCAAATGAACCTACATACATCATGTTTGTGCCAAGAAAGAGAAGACCGGTACTTGTTAACCCCATAGCAAACGTTCTGCTCTATTCTGACAGATGGTTGAGATTTTTTTCACTAAGGGTTTTCCTCAACCCCAAGAAAATTAAAAAAAAAAAAAAATTGGTTGACAAATCAATGCAAACCCAGCAAAAAAATAAATGATTTAAACTCAAGTATTTCAATGTAGACTACCAAATAATAATAAACGTCTGCTGATGAAGGCTCTTAGCTGAAACGTTCTTGTCTTACAGTCCTGTCTTTCCATACAAGCTTACAAAGGCATGGTTCTACTATTTCCTTCACATACCTTGTCCTACTATTTAGATCCCAAATGAGCTCCAGATAATGAACTTTTATGTTAAAACAACAGCTAAGAAATGGAAATAAACATTTATAACTTACCTGTGAGTCTCTGATGACATGGTTAGCTTCCAGCTGTATGCTAAAGGAGAGTCCCAGCTCTGACTGAAAGGAACCAAGGGGGGACAACGTGCCGCTGGTCAAGATAATGCTCCTTGTCTCTGCAAAATCTGAAAATGCCTGAGACAAATAACATTTTCTTGTGAGTGTTCGGGTAATTCTTAATCTGATGACACGTGGACATCTTAATCTGATGACACATGGACATCTTAATCTGATGACACACTGACATCTTAATCTGATGACACACGGACATCATAATCTGATGACACACTGACATCTTATCTGATGACACACTGACATCTTATCTGATGACACACTGACATCTTAATCTGATGACACACTGCCATCTTAATCTGATGACACACTGACATCTTATCTGATGACACACTGACATCTTAATCTGATGACACACTGACATCTTAATCTGATGACCCACTGACATCTTAATCTGATGACACACTGACATCTTAATCTGATGACCCACTGACATCTTAATCTGATGACACACTAACATCTTAATCTGATGAAACACAGACATCTTAATCTGATGACACACTGACATCTTATCTGATGACACACTGACATCTTAATCTGATGACACACTGACATCTTAATCTGATGACACTGACATCTTAATCTGATGGAACACTGACTCTTAATCTGATGACACACTGACATCTTAATCTGATAACACACTGACATCTTAATCTGATGACACAGACCTCTTAATGTGCTGACACACAGACATCTTTAATGTGATGACACATGGACATCTTAATCTGATGACACACTGACATCTTAATCTGATAACACACTGACATCTTAATCTGATGACACAGACATCTTAATGTGATGACACACTGATATCTTAATCTGATGACACACTGACATCTTAATCTGAGGACACACTGACATCTTAAGCCAGAATGTAGCAAAGTGCTGGTATTTTCAAGGAAAAATGTTCAAAATATTCAAAGGCTGCCAGGAAAATTTTGATAAGTTTTAGGGTATTATATATTAATTATTGAAAATTTATAGACGAGAGATGGATAGTTATAATAGAAAGAAAACAAAGACATCGTGTAAAAGGAGGTCCTGGACAGAAACAGTGTCAGCTCACAACGCATAACATTTATTTTGTCCTAGATGAAATCTACTGGGAACTTTAAATGAAGCATTCATTAAGTGACAATAAATGAGGTCTCCCATCAACTTCATTATGATAGTCAGTTGTGTAGCATGAAAAGAACAACAACCAAAAACTCCATGCAAAAGTGCAAATTAAATCATTAGCATGGTTGACCTATTTAAAATTGCATTTTTCTTTTAGATTCAGGAGGTCAAGTATTTAAATATTTCATAAAATTGAATGATCTTCCCTTTATAGCAAATACTAACACCTTATAAGAATAAGCTTATGTCACCATGTTAGTGTTCCTTAATCCACAATATAAGAATTCCCTATTACTGCACCAAAGAACGTGCAAATTTGTGTTCAAGATGAAATTTCTAAATCTAATTGGAATTCTGAAAGGAATCATTTACTTTTGTACCAAATAGGAAATTAATATAATAATTAAAGAATTAATTTAAGTATTTTATCTGAAAGTGAGAGTTAAGATATTGTATAGTATTTAATTTATACTTATTTCATTGTCTTTTTGTTGTACTGATGAAGGCATGTGCCGAAAAGTATACTTTTGTATTCTGTAAAATTATTAATAATAATGAAGTTCATTTCAAAAACACGCTTCATCCCCAAAGGCTCGAAGCGCGGTACAAAGTCAACAAAAAACAAATCTATAATTTACCATTTACCAATTTATAATTTATTATTAGAGCTTAAATTATACTGTTATAGTGACACAAATTGTTCATGTCTAATTAACCTATTTTAAAGCTTTATCCCAGTCCAACACTTTATTGTATAGAAGAAGATTGACTTCCTATTTTACCAACAATCATTTATCATCTATGTAGTACTATTATTAATTTGTAAGGAATTTTTTGGGGAAGCCCTAAAAATCAGATTTAACATATATTGTGTAGTCAAAATTGTGAAATGAAATTAAAATTTACATTAATGGCTCAAATAACTCCAAACAATATCGAATTTTCGCTTAAATTCAAGGAACAAAAATTAAGAATAACTTTATAAGAAGTTAATTATAATATTTATTTAGAATTGCTAACTATTGTTTCAACACACCATACAAAATTAAGCTTTACATATCGTTAACAGGTTGTATAGGTACTTTTTTTTCACTCAAAAAATGTGCAATTTACTAAATTCATAAAGGAAAAAAATTGGAACAAAATGTTAAACATATATTTAAAATAAGAAAATGCTGATCAAGCAATATTTTTCAAAATTGCATTTAAATAGTTTGATCGATAATTTTAAATAAAATTTTGTGTTTTTACATTTCAAGGGTGAGGAATTTTTTTTTATGGTGCTGGGGTTTATTTATTATCATTATTTCCAAACCCACTTATATTAAAGATTTTATCATTTGAATAAATTTTACTTTAAAAATATTTTAACTATATTCTTTAAATAAACTGAAAAAATATTAGGGTGAATTTTTAATGACGATATCAATATACATTCGTTAATGTTACAGATATTTAAAATAATACATAGATTTTTTAAATTTAAGGACATGTTTAAAATTTTTAGAAAATGTTTTCTTTGTACAGTATTTGAACAGTTAGGTAAGCTATATCATATAGAGGACGAAAAACTCTCAGAATCCAATGATGTTAGAAACATCTTCTAGTATTAATATTAAAGCTTCAAGTTTGAAAAATAAAGTAAATGGACTTTTATAGTAGAAATTAAAATTTGATTACTTTCATAGACACAGTGCTAAAGGTTAGGGACTTGTAAAAATAAATAAAAAATGACTTACAACACCTGGATTCATACACCAGAAGTTAAGCGTGTACACTGCAGTGGATTCTTGCTGGTAGTTTCGACCTGGTTTAGAGCACAGTTACCATTTGTTGAAAATTAAATACAAGGAATGCTACTCATCTACAGTTGTGTCAAATTACTTTTAACATTCGATACTTTTGTGTTACTATAGGTGATTCAATTTTTTTAAAAAGTATGATATAATTAATGTAAAAAAAGTAACGTGAATCAACTTTGTTCTTTTTACTGGCAACATTACCATTGAATCCATTCTTTGCATTTAACCACTGACCATCCTGTAAAAGTCAAAAAGAAATATTTTAAAAAAAATATGCCACAAGAATTTTAAATGTAAAATAAGAATTTTGATTTGTCAAAAACCAGTAATATCTATCTTTTGAAGGTATTTAAAATTCTGGTCTTGTAAGAAAATCAAGCCCATTATTCTTTCCGTGAGTAATGATATATAATCACTGAAAACAAAAAATATCTTACACTGACTCTGGAAAACTGATATGACTGCACCAAAGAAGCCCTGAAAAAACAATAACCAAGATTTAGCTGAATTAAATGTTTTTAAACAAAGCTTAAACCATGTCAATATTTGATGATAAGTTTAAACCAAAGTTCTGCTTGATTAATAATTTGTGATTTCATATGATTCAATATTCAGGGATTTTCTTTAAAAATAAAAAAAAAATTAAAAAAAAAATGGATAGACTCAAACCAAGAAAAATGTATTAAAGCCAGGACAAGCACCTGTAATCATCCACATATTTCATGTCAGCTCTGTACAAGTATTCCAGCACTTGAAAGATCTGGGTCAACAAAACATCTGTGGCTGGTTTCATCTCCAGGAGGTCAAGCGTCAGTCCATTTTTGAACGATTCCTCCTTTCTCTCCTCCGCTGCAGACTTCACCGATGTATAAGCCGTCTACAAGATACAAACAATTTTAAATTCAATACATCAGGAGTATAAAAGAAAATTTTAGCATGCATGAAATTAAATGTCTAAATATTCTTAAAATAATTCAACAGCGAAAGCTGGCACAATGGCTTCATTGGATGGTGTGTGAACTGGATCAATGGCAAGTTTTATCATAACTTCTATCAAATGATTGATGACTGCAGTAGTACTTCATTACTTCCTGTTGCAACAATGATAGTAACAAAGAAATATTTCCACCATCTTTTCAATTTCAGCTCACGTCTGAAAAATATTGCCTCTTCTAAACCAATTTCTAATTAGGCTTGAGACTGTTCAGAAACCAGAATATCTTAAACACAATCCTATGTTCACTTACCTTTATGTTGGGAAAATGTTTTGGCCCAAGACCCAGTGATTCCAGTTGGGCTACAATATGAAAAGCCGACCAGATTTTATATGCTCTGTCAAAATCTTTCTGCTCCAATTTATTCTTGTTCTCATCTATGAAGGTGTCAAGGTTGTGCAGCTGTTGAAGTAAAGTATAGTCCAGTCATAAGAAATCATAGATATTGAGGAAAGTGTTTACGTTAGGGTGACCAAACGTCCCGTAAAAATGGGATTGTCCCGTTTTTTCATGATCCTACCCTGTGTCCCGAAAATGTCTCTCGGGACGCCTTAACGTCCCGTTTCTAAAACGAAACACATTTTCAAATCAGTAAAATTTCCTAATTTATAATATAACTTCAAATAAAATTTTGACTAGCTGTGTAGCCAGTGCCAGTAGTGATATGGGCTCGTGATGGCTGCACTGTTCCCCCTCCACCACTCTGCCAACACTGCGTAAAAGACAGTGTCCCTGCCATAGATCTTATATGTATAAATAAATGAGTATTCACTGCAAAATTCTTGTTTTCTTTTATGATATGCCTCAGAGTTTAAATTAAATTACAAAAGTGAAGGTAAATTTTTAAAAGATTTCTAGGTCTTAAAATAGTTAAAATGAGCATATTTCAAAACAGTTTCCGGCAGAGGCCTCCACTTTTTAGCTGGAGGGTATCCCACCCCAAACCCTCCTTGTGTGTGTCCCGTTTTTTCCAATTCATGATTTGGGCACCCTAGTTTACGCAATCCTATGTAATCTGCAATCAAGCAATTTACACAAGTTGCATCTCAAGAGTGAGAACAAAAAAGAGTTTTGTTGTTTTCTCACTGTTATGTATAGCCTTGTATAACATAAGGCTTGACTTACCTTTTAGACTTAGCAAGACATACGAGATGTTATATTACTGTGTGCATAAATTAATATTTGTGTGTTGAGGTTTGTACCCTTCTTCACTTGCTGTACATTAATATGTTTTTTAGGTTCAGTACTGAAATTTGTACTTGTATAAAAATTAATTTAAATTAAATTTTTATATCTGTAGCGTTGGCATCATTTTCTTTGCATACTGTTTGATCAGTTCTTTTGTTATTTATTTGTTTTGTATTAACATACACTAAATCTTTAAGACCATAACGGTAAGTAACACTCAAAGTACGTAACTTAATGGACAACTGTTTTAAAAAAATTATATTCTTGAAAATTGATAAACAATCCTCACCACAGCCCTGAGCTTGGAATAATCAGCAATATCAATGTTCCTCTCAACTGAAAATGGAAAAATTGTCATTTAGCTAACAGTGCTAAAATATTTTGGGTGTGTTTCATGCCATCTGATAAATAGAAAACAGTTCACATAAGGAGGTTTTCACCCACCTTCCATTTTCCTTACTTATGTCCTGAATTGAAAGTATCTCACTAAAATTTATAATGGCACTAACATTTATATTAGAAGTCTGAGAAGAATAGTGGGGAAAAAAACTTTGATAACTTGTGAAAATATATCAAGACAGGAAACAACTGAGTAATGACTTTTTAACATTTTTTTTCTCCACTTGGTTAAACAAAATAGTCATTCTGTTGAGGTACAGCTCTGACACTATTTTGTTTATACTCACTGAGTATCTCTATGTCCCTAACAGCCTTGACAATACTTTCTTGTGTAATACTTTGACTGGCTGCCTCCCTGGCTGCATCCTCGATGTTATGGGCCTCATCCAAGATGACAACATGACCTTTTATGCTGATGGCCATCTGGGAATTAAAAAAAAAAAAGTTTTACATCATATTCATTTCTATTTGATAAAACCAACTGTAGAAGTTGAATCTATAGTTCTACATCATATTCATTTCTATTTGATGATTAATTAAACCAACTTTAGATGTTTAATCTATAGTTCTACATCATATTCATTTCTATTTAATCTATAATTCTACATCATATTCATTTCTATTTAATGGTTAATAAAACCAATTGTAGATATTTAATCTATAGCTCTTCAACTGTAAGACCAAACATCAAGCTGGCTTTATTTTTTTCCTCTCAATATTTCAAGATTCTGACTTGCAGCTTTTCAAGGTTAGTGTTTAATAATGGAATTAATGTCAAAATTCTTATGTCCGACCCAAAATTTTTTTCTACTAACCGCATCTCTGATGATAGGGTCTATTAAATAGTTGTAAGGGCATATAATAAGGTCAGCTTCATCTTTGAGGCCACGAGACAGAAAGTATGGACAGGCCTGAAAGAATACACTGACTGCATTAATACATACCAATTTCATAAAGTGAAAAGAAAATATACATATATAAGTTTATTAATTTAATTTTTTAATTAACTTCTTAAAAATTCATTTTCGGAAAAACAAAATTGTTCATAATAATTTTATAATACGGTAAGGATATAGGTGCAAATGGTACATGTAATGTTACATTAAAATGCCAAACAAATATATCTTTTCTTAGTTACTAAAAATGAAAATTATTTTTGTCAGCACAGCTACACTAAATTCTGTAAGTCCTACTTACTTTTTTCACTTTACACAACTGTACCAGGTCCTCTATGTCCCAGGCATTGTTAAGCCCCATTCCTTTAACAACATTTTGTGAGGTAAACCTCTGAGTTGAATCTTTAAAACGACAACCTGGACCCTGAAATGATAATGAGACTGGTGGCATGCTCAATGAATTTCTTTCAGTCTCTATTCAGACAAATCTGCAGGATTTTCATCAGTTGAGTGTGAATCTCAGCAAAATTTTAGATTTATAATTTATACTCTCATATACATAGATAGCCAAATATGGATAATAAAATTCTACCATATCTTAATAAAGATGGCTCTATCAAACCAAAAAAAAAAAAAAATGGGATAACTAGATTTAATGCTATAACTATCAACAATAAGAATCTGTGTGTCATGGAATTTTTTAATTCTGAAAAATATAATTAAGTTTATATTAAGAAACCCTGATAAAGTTATTCCTGTTCTAAAATGTAAAGATGAAGTTAAGAAGGAAAAAAAATAGTAATGTTACATTGAGTAGTTCTTTGCAGCCATCGTTCTTAGCCTTCATTTTGGATACCTCCGGATGAATACATGTATGCTCTCGACTTCCTAGGATGGTCATTCTAGCAGGAGAAATACATTTTTGATGTTAGATTTAGAATACTTGTACTCCTCTTTCTAATGTAATATTTTGTTATTTTAAGTTTATCTAAAATTGCCCCCTTTTTTAAAATATTTTTTTTTATAAAATGCATATTTAAGAAAAAATACATCTTCTTGTACATTATAAGTGACCACAAAGTCAGCAATATTTCTAAGGACAGGGACCAGAAATAAATGCGTTGTATAGCATTTTATTATCAAAATCAAAGTCATAGTTCTGAAGATATGTTATTAAAATTATTTAATACAAAATGGGCCTGTTAAATGAGAATGACAGACAAGATCCCGCTTACTGCATGCAAACCCGTGGCATTTACATTACTTATAATATACACACAAACCAATGATGTTTACGACTCTTATAAAATTCACATGATTTATTAGATAATAGATATTTAACTTTAACAGAAATTTCTTGGAGATTTGTGACTATCCAGTATTGAAAACACTGGAGCACATACTTCACACAGGTTTGTTGTAAACGTACTTGACATTGCTGTATTGGGTCTTCCTAAGCTCTCTCACGATCTGGGCTACTTGTTTGTGTGTGCGAGTACCAAAATAGATTTTAGGAATTCTGTGAAGTCACGACATAGAAAAAAGATGGCGTAAAATAGTTAAATTACAAATTTTTTCATAAATTTTAGCATGTATGTAATCCACAAAATATTTTTTGAATTCATGTTATTTAATTCTAAGTAGCCTTTCACAGGATACAATTTTATTTGAAAAACAAAGCATCCTAAATATCTAAATCACTATCACACATGGTGGTGGGGGTTCAAGTGTTAATAAACATGGGTGATGAGATGATTTCTCAGTAGGTAGACTTGAACATGTAGAATAATATCAGTTTCCCACTTTATATCCATGAGATGCAAAGCAAAAAAAATAATTCATGAATAGCCTCCCTTTGGCACACCCTTAGCATGTTTACTTCATTCATAATTGAAATGAAAATAGCTTGATTAAAGTAAGGATTTTCATCAAATATTGAGTTGCTTTTTTTTTACACTTATTGATGGAAGTTTTGTTAAAAAAATAACTCAGATGATGAATTTGACAGCAATTTAGTTTTCATTAGACATTCCTGTTGATTACACTAGCTGTTGTAATATAGATTCTTCACCATTGCGATAGGGAAAAGTCATTTGGATACAACAGTTTTTTTTTTAGTACTATATATGCTATGTGGATATTAAGTGTTAAAATGTGTGCATATATAGGAGGAAGATTTTCACTTGTACCTTTTATTGATCTTATTAAAATGTCACCACCTCAAAGTAAACTATATAATTTCCAATAAAATATATAGTTGGACATGTGGTGATAATGTGTGAAATAGACAAGTTGTATAGAAGAAATTTTGATTGAGTTTTAAAATTCATTGTTGTAACTTTTAAGAAAGAACAATATTTGTTAAAAACACTGAATTTCCTGCAGGAGCTAAAACATTTTCAACCCTTTAGCATACAAAGATCTGAAATGAGAAAAATAATTACAAACGATCATCTACGTTTTTACCGTTCTAAACTCCACACTTGATCATCACAAACTTACTTTGTTCTTGCCTTGCTTGTGGGACCACTGTTATCACATGTGCAAAGTTTGCACTCTGCTACAACTGGCACAACCTTCACCTCTTGTTTCTCACCATGTAATATCTCCCCTACTGTAATTAAGATCTTCTCAATGTGATCCTCATCAGTGTCCTCATAAGCTATTTTCATTCTTTTTCGAGGACTCTTCCTTGCAGACTTTTAAAAGAAAGATGAAACCCATAACATAAATTAATGATTTTTTTAAATAAAAAATTTACATTGATACATTCTCAGTAGTCATTGGATAAGTTTAACACTTCAGATCCTCTGAATAAATGGCTTCCTAAGTCATTTGCCATAAAAAGCTAATAATTTAACAAAAATAGTATGCTTTTACAAGTTCCTTGAAAAAAAAATTGTTTTAAAATTAAGTTAAATGTTCACACTAAATTTACTTACAGGAAGGTTGAACTTTTTTACAGCGATGAAATCATCATCTTCATCAGTGGGACATCCTGAAGTAGTAACAAAATTATTATATAAAGGATAGAACACTTTAAATATCACAGACAGATAGTGTTTTCTCAAAGAACGTCTATGATTCAAATCCAGAAAAAAATTAATTTTTTCATAGTTCAGAGAAATATGCATGGTTAGGGATTAATGTGGTGGCTAAGAATTTGTTTTTGACTACTATTTTTTTGGTACAGTTTTATGATAAAAGTTCAGATAATAAACATGCCCAACTTGGACACTTTGATTTTTACAGACATTTCTTCAAAGGCACAGGAAAATTAATAGATGTCTGTATAGTAAAACTATGTTCATGAATACATTTTGTTTAAAAAAAACAACATTATTTCACACAAACAGGATTGAAGTATCCAAAACATTTATTAAGTTGTGAATATCACATGGATTAATCCCCAGAAATTATTGGCTCAATTGACAACAGATTCTTGAAATATAGTCCAGATCAAATCATGCTCTCATTGTTTTCAAACTTTAAATCATAAAATTGTAACCTGAAATAAAATTACAATTTTTGTTTGAGGATATATTTTAATACCCTCATATATAAACTGGATTTATAATTTAATCACATGACAACATAAAAGTGTTATTTTTATTTTTCTGGTTTATTTTTACATAAATACACATTAGCACTAAAATAGTCTGGGAAGTCTTTAAGACCAAAAATATTACCTTTATACTTTATATCAAATACCCCCCAAAAATCCCCATGCTATGAATCGGCCGCACCAAAAAGCTAGGAAACGACAACAGTAAATTATATAATCACCTGATTTAGATTGTTCTACAGCTGAGTTCCAGTTTGAATTATTTGATATTGCACTATCAGTAGCTTTAATATCTTCCGCTGAAACTGACGTCTGGCACTTAGGTGATTTCTGTGCATGGCATGCACATTTGCAATCCTCTGTTGAAATAAAATCATAATTAAAAATAATTTACTGCTGCTCTTATCAATGAAAAAAAAAAATTTAAACCTGCACACTCATAACAAATGCTTTAGGTGTACATTTTTCAGTGCTGGTATACAGGCTAGTTAAAAAACATCCCTACTTGAGGGAAACATCAAATCCTACACTTATTTTTTTTTACACATTGTATACTCGATTATACAAAATGGGTAATCTATTTTTGATAGCATTTCAATATAGGGAGAACTTCGGACAACCCATAATAATCAAAAGAAAGAGAAGAAATAACAGTACAAATTGGCACTGAGAAAAGATGCCTAGAAATGAATTCAAATGCGGGACTGTTCACCCCTGTCACTCACCTTTACTGGCTACATCCTCTTCCTCTTTGTCTCTCTTTTCTGTCGTGAGAAAAAAATATAATGCTAACAAAAAAATAATTTGAGTGACGGAAACAAGAAAGAAATAGCCTTTAAATGTAAACAAAATTACCAAATTGAACTTTTACTAATTTTATTAGTTTGTCGTTTTGTTTTAGTAAAATGATTTGAATGCTTTCCTGCACGAATTTAATGAAAGCTGAAAATGACAAAATAAATGTATGTAAACTTTTTAGCGTTAAAACAGATAGATGTAAAAAAAAAAAAAAAAAAAGATATATAACAAAAAAATAGAAATGGTCCATTAAAAAATATATTAAAAATGATTTGAATGCTTTCCTGCACGAAATTAATGAAAGCTAAAAATAAAAAAATAAATGTATTAAAACTTTTTAACGTTAAAACAAAAAAATGTAAAAAAAAAAAAAAAAAAAGATATATAACAAAAAAATAGAAATGGTCCATTAAAAAATATATTTGCTCCTTACAAATAAACTCACCCTTTTCTGCTACTTGCCATGCTAGGGATGAACACAAAAGTGCCAAACTTTTCCCACTGCCTGTAGGACTTTCTAAAAGGCAATTTTGTCGCCGATCAATGCCTTTAATTATCTGAAATATAAAAATATAAATAGTTTTTAAAAAATAGTAATATGAGACCATTTCATTTATATGTTTTTCTTTAAAAATGAAGCATATATTAGGCTTTAAGATGAGCATCATAAATGCACTTTGATTTCATAATTTTGAATGTTTCAAATAGACAAAAAGAGGTTACCTTGTCCATCATGGAAAACTGTGAAGGATAGGGTCGGCATGGAAAATGTACAGACACACCCGAAATCTTGTATTCTGTGTGATCTGACATGATGCTAATTTTCTGATGATTAGATAATGAATGTTGATACCGTATTTGATATTTTAGGAAATATAATATTTTATATAATACTTACATTTCAACATTAAAGACTACCCACAAATGACGTCATGCTATTTCACCCAACACAAAATTTGAACACCCTCATAATGCTCATCACAAATTCATGATGAAATTTATGTATGTCCTCATGACTCATATAAATATAATATGAATAAAATGAATTATATTCATTGGTGTTATTTAATCCTGTACTTGTGGCTTGTACTGCATGAGATTATTATTATAGGCTAATTATAATTTACCCTTTTTTTCTCCTAGTGATACCTATCATTTTTGTGTGTGACAGCTGTTTTTTAACTTTAATATAAGGCCAATTTGGCTACACAAAATAAATTTGTCCACTTTTAACCTCATAGATTATTCTTTCTATTTTTTTCTTGGGTCAGTTAATCTATTTCCCATCAAGGCAAACCCAGAGAATAACTCAAACTGCTTTGTTAGGCTTCTTAAGACTACATTTGACTACGTTTCAGTGTTTGCCTATTTTAACTCTGCCATTTACCAACATGCAAAGTAATCAGACTCGGGCACACCATTTAGTAGTATACTGATGCCATTGTAAGTATTTGATCACATGTTTGCAGACTTCAAAACACAGAGCCACTTTTCAACTTTTTGCTGACCATTTCTCCTTTAATTTGAAAGATGCCCCCCCCCCTTTTTTTTTGGGGGGGAGCTTCAAATGGAGCAGATTGATCTTCAGTGCAATTCTAAGTTCAGGGAGGTGAATGGATAAACAGACAAGCATGGACAATTTATGAGAGCATGCCTCCCACCTTCCCTGAGATTTTCAGGTTGTTCAAGCAGATCTCATGTACCTATCTGGGTGAAAAGCTCTTGAAATTGTAATGTATAATTTATTTATTAATTATTAATAGTTATACACTAACTACTATACGAACAGCTAATAACTATAAGTATAAGTTATAACACAATAAAAGCACGTATGAACTATAAACTTATTTATAATTATAGAGTAGAGTATATAAAATTACTATATAATATAAATATAATTTTATAGAACTATTAATAAATAAATTATACATTACATTTACATCATTACAATATTATTACAATTTTCAAAGAAATATTTTGGAAATAATTGAAAATATAAATTATAATTCAAAATGCATGTTATCATTACAATGGGTCATAAATGATTGATAAAATTATATTTTATCATTATTAATTGAGTCTTCTTTATTATTGTGTTACATTTTTTTGCATTTAATTTAAAACGGAGGCTCATTTGGCGCGTTTTATTTTCACGGAGAACTGATGTCAACAATATTAATAAACATGATGTATTATAATTATAGCCTGCGCCTATACACTGTAAATACACACTACGGATGCATAATTGTAAAATATAATGAATTGAGAAGAAAATAAAGGAATGGCCCTTACGTCCTCAAATTTTATTTTTAAAAACCTTTAATTTGTTGCATTGTAACATTGTGAAGTCAATGATTATTTTTAGTAATCTTACGGCGAATCGTTTGCTGCTACGTTGGTGATATTAAGTACCATTAGATGGGATTTATTACTGACATAAAAGAAATGAACCTTATCTACAATCGTAGTGATATTCTATTTTATGAAAGTGAATTGGTGCAATCATAAATGGGAAAGCATAATGATGAATATTGAGCTACGACAGAAGGTATTGCTTAAAAAAAATAAACATTAAATAAAGGGATGTGACTTTTAACATATGAAAATTATGAAATCTATAAATTATAAAAACGAAGTGGCTATTCGAACCGGGCTAACGGCTAACAGAAGTGAGAGGTTGGGATTAAAAAAAAAATGTTTAAAATATTATTGTTGGGTTTGTAAGATAAAATTTGGTATCGAATGAAAGATAATTGAATGGATTATTTGTTTGTAAACTTAATTCTTCAGTTTAACTAAAATAAACTACCACAAATGACATCCGAATAGCATTTAGTCAAAATGGAACCTGATACGCATCGCTGCTATTCGGATCCGGGTCCCATTAGACTAAATAGACACAGAAAGAATCATACGGAATGTGCTCTTTTGAAGATATTGCGCTTAATTAAGGAACAGTTTGCCTCAATGTTAGAGGAAAATTGAAGATGATAAAAACATCATTTAAGAAACATTGAAATACTTTTTCTTAAAAAGAGATTTTAGGAGATCAGAGCGATGTGAGGCTGCTAAAATAGCATGGACACAGGCGCTATAAAAATACTAAATTATCATCTTCATAGGCAAAACACGTTTATAAAGTTAAAGCTGTCTCATTTGTCTCATTTGTAATTTGTCTCATTAAAAAAAAAGAGAGATCCATTTAACTCTAATGGGTTTTTTTCTTGCATACTTCTATCTCTTACAGGATTTGGGGAGGGGGTCACTTCCAACTTTACCAAGAACCACCAATCTGTGCATGGACTCAACGTCCGCTGAGATTATCTTCAGATCTGGTCAAAGCTCAGTAATATGTCCCATGTAAAGTAGTAGTATGCGGTAACACTCTCCGTGTTCTGTAACAATGATGAGCTTTGTAGCGAGGCAGACCGTCTCGATGGATCGACCCGACGCATTTCGTCCGTATTTAACCCCAGCCAGGTCACTGAGAGTTAAAGTCTTCTGCTATAATGTTCTTGAATACTCTCACGGTGAGCGTATCGATGTTGCTGTTGTTCCTCCCCTCTACGATCTCAGCAGTGATATCGTTTTGAACCGTTTCGGCATGACCTCGACATAGGACGCTTTTGCAGTGTTATTGCAGATGCCAGTGATATGAAACGGCTTGCCACTCGTTGCGGTGAACTCGTGGTGTCATCCCCCCCCCCTCCGGCCCAACTTCCACGATGGACTTCGTCTTGCTAAATAAGGCCACAGTTTAACAATGAAATGAGCAAAAACTAACTAATTGAAGGTCAGGAGGTCAATGTATTTAAAAACTGTAACATGTACTTAGAGCACTCATTTGGTATAAATGGAAAGCTTTATTCTCAGAATTAAGATAAACTTAGCTTCCCATCTCTTACGAAAGTTACCGAACAATCCAATCGGCGTTGAATCATGGTCAAAACGCATCAACTTTGAACTTTTAATAAATCACGCATTTGGATTAATTATATCTGCGGAAAATTTACTTTTGATCGGTTACCCTTTTAGGAAATTTGGTTAAACCGAACTGTGTGAGATCTGTAATATAAATGCAATTTTTCAATTTGGTGTCAGCATCCCCCACATCCATCTACCCACGCCACCTCGTGGAGTAGTTTGATTCTTTCATGCTCTGCAGTTACACAAATCTTGCATTACTGGTGGTTTCTAAATAGTAATTTTGTACCGGTGTTATAATTTTTAAATTTAAAATATTTATTTGTTTACACTACTTGAATTTTTTTTTGTTTTAAATCCATTAAAATAGTTGTTCGTTAACAAAAACATCACTGCCAACATCATTATACATGTTGAAGGAAAAAGAAACAAAACTATATGCATAATCATTACATTTTTTTCATTTATTTAAAATTTAGATATTTCCAAGATTTACAAAAGAGAGCAAATAGATTAGAAAAGTCGATGGATTTTAAGGCTATTTAAAATTGGTGTTTTAAAATTAAATTATTAACAAATGGCATAATTAATTAAAGAAGATGGGATTTAATTACGAAAGGCATCATGTACTTATTGATGGGCTACAAACAAGATTTATCTCAGGGAAGTGGTAACAGTATTTTACGAAAATTCACTAAACTAAAGGAATTATTTTGAATCTCAAACTAATATAACTTTCTTCAGATAAATTACTCGTTATTGAAAATATTCCGTCCATTAAAAAAAATCTTAGATTTACTTAATTAAACACATTTCACAAAACCGATTTTTTTATATATTTTTTTTTTTTTGTGAAAAAAGTATGTCTAAAACCAGTTTTAGAAAACGGAATTGACTTGAAAACTGAATATCTTACATACAAAAACTTTGGAAATATGATCCTACTGCACTTTTAAAGCAAGTTAAATAATTAATTGCCAAAAGATATTTCAATAACCATTTAAAATATGCGCAATTTGTTAAATCTAGAAGAGTTGGGCCCCCTTGAAGCGTGAGGTCCCCTTGATGCATGAGGCCCCATATAAGCGTTAGGCCCCCTTGATGCGTGAGGCCCCATATAAGCGTGAGGCCCCCTTGATGCGCCAGGCCCCATATAAGCGTGAGGCCCCCTAGAAGTGTGTGGTCCCTTAAAAACGTGATGTTCCCCGAGGCAACTCCTGAGTGTGCCCTTGCCTTAAAATAGCACTCTGACCAATAGCGTGACGCCGTTGGCTCCTTTAAATCATTTTCAAATACTGAACTTGGTGGCCGACACCACGTATTGGTGGCCCCAGGGGAGAGTGGGGGGGAGGGGGGGTCTTGTAACAAACAACGTTACATCAAACGTCACAGTTAGCAATGCAATCAAGTGCCACAAATCAGACTGGGCTATACCTTTCCTATTATCAAGTTTTGCCAATAATCGACTTCTAATAGCCGCCAACAAACGTTTGCTCGTCTGCCACAGCCCACCATTTCTTCAGCGCCAAAATTTGGTGCCGGCCGCCCACCCGCAGGGGTTCTAGACATGCTCGGGTATGCATTGATTGACCTCCCCCCCCCCACGACCGTGTATCGCTATGGTCCTAGCTAGGACAAACATGCTATGACTCCCATTTCTGTAAGCACAGAGCTGGGGTTTTCTTGATCTATTTTGAGGGATATTGTGACAGGCACTTGCAATAGTTGGATTTTGTTTTTGTTAGTGTATGATTTCTTTCTATATTAATTGAATGGCATGGATGGACAAATTAGGCTTGCACATTGCTCTGTTATAAATATAGATATTGTTTCAGGTAGGTGAAGTAAAATAATTCAAATGCTATATTCTTGATGTATGTTAACTTGAAGTGCTTTTTATATAAATAAGACTGTAGGTTTAGATTATTCGGCCCGGAACGCAGATTCATATAGGCCTCAAAGTATATAAGGACAAATAACGATATATTAAAGCTTATAAAATGCTGAATTTCAAAAGAGAAAAAAAAATGTTATTGAGTGGCTTAGCTAAAATTAGTGCCTGCGGTGGTGAGGTGGGGGGGGGCAAGAATTTTTCTGCCCCCGTCCTCAAAGATTTAAAAAAAAAAATATTATTTAAAAAGTTGAGCTATGGCCGAAAATGTAGCCTCTCCATGGAGAAAAAAATGTGCCACCTAAGGCGAAACGCGCCTCCCTCTTCCTACGCCCCTGCGTCCATTAATGAAAGATGAAGCTATTTATCGAGTTGATACTTTAAAACGGCGCCTAAACACATATTTACGCCAACCCGGTTAGTTTTACGCCTTTGCTTCTTGACCCTCTACACGTTTTTATAGCTTATTCTGGATTACAGGTAACATAAAATATGTGCAGACATTTTTCATATTTTAATTATTATAATTAAGATCCGTTTATTCTTATTCAAAACAAAATTTAGATACTTTTAAAAACCAACAACAACTGGAGTGTAATCGTTTAAATGAATTGGCGTGCTTGTCTCGTTACCAACATTTTGTTTTATATTCTGAGAAGAGGAAGACTTATTCCCAAAATAACAGCTTGAAACCTGAACAACTATCGCTATAAACAACGTGATCTCTTATAAACAAATTATTAAAGAAACGGACTGCCATCTGCTTAAGTGTGAGTGAGAGCAAGGGAGAAAACGTTCCTCTGACTTTTCATTCGTTTAAAGGACTACTCCACATTGTAAATTGATGTCAAGTGGATATATATAGTTCAACACGCCTTTTTTTTTTTCTCTTGAGATTTTTGGTAACAAAAATGCCACCTTTACGCGAGTAAATACGGTATTTAAAAAAAAAAAAAGACAATTAGATAACTTTAGTTTAATTTCGCCGAAAATAGATGACATCACGCTGTGACGGCGCGCTCTATAAAACAAAATCACTGCCTATAATCAGCTGAGCATGAATAATAGTGAGTGAAGCAGTGGAGTGAAGTATAGTTTTTTTAAATATTTTGAAATACATCTTGCAAAACAGTGCACCGTACATTTGTCCTATGTTCGGTTCTGTGTGATTTGATTTTGATTATAAACCTGCGTAGAAAAAAAATCCAATTTCGAATAGATCACCAGTTTCAACTCTAGGTTTATTTTGATAACCATGGACACTGCACCACAACCAAATGGGCACATTCATTGACGACCATGCCGAGGAAAAGCTATTTACACGGTTAATTTCCGATTTTGCAACCACCCCCTCTTTTGGGCTGGCGCAAGGGGTTGTCACCCTTTCAACCTGACCTCCCTTCTCAAGAACCCGCTGGCAATAGATCTAGCATATATTCTGAAGTATTGGTCGCACAGGTGGATAGGTCGCCAGTTAATTTGGGGCTGTCAAAGTGGGTATTTTCGATGGACCCGCACA